CCCTCAGTTCTTCAGCTCAAGGCTTGAGCCACAGTGCCACTTCCAGCTTTTTCTGCTTATGTGGTGCTGAGGAATCAAACCCAGGGCCTCATGCATGTGAGGCAAGCGCTCTACCACTGAGCCACCTTCCCAGCCCTCTGTGAGACTGTTTTTTGTTTTTTTTTTTAGAGGGGGGTTCTAGTCACAGGGCCTGAACTCTGGGCCTGGGCGCTGTCCCTCAGCTCTTCAGCTCAAAGCAAGCGCTCTACCACTTGAGCCATAGCACCACTTCTAGCTTTTTCTGCTTATGTGGTGCTAAGAATTGAACCCAGGGCCTCATGCATGCAAGGCAAGCACTCTACCACTGAGCCACCTTCCCAGCCCTCTGTGAGACTCTTATCTCCAATTAAACACCAGAAAACTGGAAGTGGCTCTGTAGCTCAAGTGTTAGAGCACTCACCTTGAGCTGAAAATCTCAGGGACAGCACCCAGACCCAGAGTTCAAGCCCCACTACCAACCAAAAAAGGAAATAAATAAATAAGGCAAGAAAGAATAGTACATGTTGGAAACATTCTCATCTTAACACTAGGTAAAATAATACTTATCCATTACCTAAATGTAGCAAACTATGGCTATCTGGAACTCAAACAGGATGCTAGCTAAATGTGTTTAGGCAAGAAAATATATTACCATAAACAGACTGGATTGGGCTAGGAATGTGGTTCGTGGTAGAGTGCTTGCCTAGCATTCATGAAGCCTGGGTTTGATTCTTCAGTACCTCATAAACAGAAAAAGCTGGAAGTGGTACTGTGGCTTAAGTGGCAGAGTGCTAGCCTTGAGCAAGAAAAGATATTCAGGGATAGTGCCCAAGCCCTGAGTTCAAGCCCCTGGACTGGCAAAAACAAAACAAACAAAAACACACTGGATTACTGAGACACCAACAAGTTTCCGATTTATTCTTCATTCCAAGAACAACTGAATCAGGTTTGTTGTTGTTAGGTTGCCTCAACTGGTTTGGGCATGTAGCTGGTCAATATGTAGTCTGCCAGTGATGTAGGCAAGTAAGAGAGTGGTATGAATATGAACTTAGCATCCCAGCCAGCCACATATCGAGTACGAGGGTGTGCCGACGTTACAGCATGCTCCATGCAGTCAGTGACCAGGTTCAGATCTGAGCTACAATTGGAAAGGCCTTTCTTAACCGTTTTGTAATCTGTATGCAAGAAAGATAACAGTGTCAAAACCTCAACTCCATCACTGCAAAACATAAAGTATGATTGAAACAACACAGGTATATGAATTGATCTTTTCCATTGGAATTTGTTGTATACATTTTTTATTGTTGTTGTTGGTCCTGGGGCTTGAACTCTGGGCCTGGGCGTTGTCCCTCCGCTCTTCAGCTCAAGCCTAGTACTCTGCCACTTGAGCCACAGCGCCACTTCTGGTTTTCTGGTGGTTTATTGGAGATAAGAGTCTCATAGCCTTTCCTGCCCGGGCTGGCTTTGAACCTCAGTCCTCAGATCTCAGTCTCCTGAGTAGCTAGGATTAAGGTGTGAGCCACCAATGCCCACCTTGTATACTTTTTTATTTTGTCATAGGGTCTGAAATCTGGGCCTGGGTGCTGTCCCTCAGCTCTTCAGCTCAAGGCTAGCGCTCTACCACTTTAGCCACAGTGCCACTTCTGATTTTCTGGTGGTTAATTGGAGATAACAGTCTCATGGACTTTCCTGCCTGGGCTGGCTTTGAACCGCAATCCTCAGATCTCAGCCTCTTGAATAGCTAGGATTACAGGTGTGAGCCATCCAATGCCTGGCAGAAATTTTTCATCAATGAACTGGGAAGTTAAGATCTGAAGATCTCTGTTTGAAGCCAGCCTGGGTAGAAAAGTCTTTGAGACTTTCATCTCCAATTGACCGGCAAAAAAGACAGAAGTGGAGGTATGACTCACATGATAGAATTCCAGCTTTGAGAAAAAAAAGCCAAGTGAGAGCACAAGGCCTTGAGTTCAAGCCCCATTACTGGCGCAAGCACACGCACGCGCACACACACACACACACACACACACACACACAGAGAGAGAAAAGAAAGAAAATAATATTTTCATGAACCCCAAAATATACCCTCTGGCATGGGGAATGTAGCTCCGTGGCAAAGCACCTGCCTAGCTTTAGGAAGCCCATGGATTTAATCTACAGCACTGCAAACACACACTAACACGTATAAGCTAAGCACCAGTGGTTCATGTCTATCTATAATCCTAGCTACTCAAATGGCTGAGATATAAGGATCAAAGTTAAAAGCCAACCTGGACAGACTTTTTTTTTTTTAATCGTCAGTAGTGGGCCTGAACTCTGGGCCTGGACACTGTCCCTCAGCTCTTCAGCTCAAGTCTAGAACTCTACCATTTGAGCCACAGCAACACTTCGGGCTTTTTCTTATGTGGTGCTGAGGAATCAACCCCAGGGCCTCATGCATGCAAGGCAAGTACTCTACTACTGAGCCACCTTCCCAGCCCCTAGACAGACTTCTATCTCCAATTAACCACCAAAAACAACAACAACAACAAAGCCAGAAGTGCAGGCTGGGTGCTGGTGGCTCCTCCCTGTAACCTTAGCTACTCATGAGTAGGAGGATGAGACTTGAGGATCACAGTTCAAAGCCAAACTGGGCAGGAAATCTTCAATTACCCAACAAAAAAGCCAGAAATGAAGATATGGCTCAAGTGAATTTCAGCCATAAACAAAAATGCCCAAAGATAAAGCTTAGTTTCTGAGTTCAAGCCCCAGGATTGGTGCACGTGCACACACATGCGCCCACACATGCATGCAAACAGACACAGACATACACACAGACACACAGACACACAGACACACACACACACACACACACACAGAGTCACTCTCATTTTTTCCCCACAAACCTAACCCAAGGAATCGCTTTCTTTTATTTTCTTTCTCTCTTTCTTTTTCTTCTTGTTTTTCTTTTTTTGTGCCTATGGAGTTTGAACTCAGGAATTGAGAGCTATCCCTTCACTTTTTTGCTCAAGGCTGGCACTCTATCAATTGAACCATAACTCCACTTCTCACATTTTGGTGCTTACAGGTGACAGTCTTAAGAACTTTCCAGTTTGGCTGGCTCCAAACAGCCTCTTCAGTAGCTAAGATTACAGGTATAAAACCACTGGCACCAGCTTCCATTTCTATAGGCCATCAATTATGTTATTTCATAAAATTGAGGGATCCCATACCTTTGAGGCTTCTGTGACCAGTACCACCTGCCCAACCATGCCCAATAGGACAAAGCTGGTCTTCACCAACTTATGCCCTCCCTCCTTCCACAATAAGAAACATTCTAGGGGCTGGGAATGTGGCTTAGTGGTACAGTGCTTGCCTAGCATACATGAGGCTCTGGGTTCAATTCCTCAGTACCACATACACAGAAAAAGCTGGAAGTGTTGCTATGGCTCAAGTGGTAGAGTGCCAGCCTTGAAAAAAAGAAGCTCAGGGACAGTGTCCAGGCCCCGAATCCAAGGCACAGGCAAAAACAAAAACAAAAAGAAATAGTCTATGGTCAAGCTCTTTGTTACAAAAAGGACAGCCAACACTGAAGACTGCAGTTTAGGGCTGGGAAGGTGGCTCAGTGGTAGAGCGCTTGCCTTGCATGCCTGAGGCCCTGGGTTCGATTCCTCAGTACCACATAAAGAACAAAGCCAGAAGTGGCACTGTGGCTCAAGTGGTAGAGCGCTAGCCTTGAGCTGAAGAGCTGAGGGACAGCACCCAGACCCAGAGTTCAGGCCCATGACTGGACCCCCCCCACCCAAAAAAAAAAACAAAAAACTGCAGTTTAGTTCAGCAAACAACTCATAGCAGCCTCAATGTTGGGTCCTTCTCAACTGAGACTTTTTTTCTTTCTTTCTTTCTTTCTTTTTAAATTTAATTTAATTTTATTTTGTGAACATACTGTACAGAGGGGTTACAATTACATGGGCAGGATAATGCGTACATTTCTTATCAAGCATTGCAGCCTCCAACTTTGTT